CCCCCCCCCCCCCCCCCCCCCCCCCCCCCCCCCCCGGGGGGCCGGCCCCCCGGGGGGGGCCCCCCGCGGGGCCCTGAGAGAGACAGAAATGGAGAAGCTCCTCGGTGTGGCAGGGGAGAGCACACAAATGAGGAGCAGCCAAAGCCAGCTGGCACAAAAACATTTTTTGTCTAAGGTTCACATGGTTGGTGCTGCAGGTGCTGGTCTGCATCACCTGTGCGAGCAGCGGGTGCTCCCAGTGACATCGCACCTTTGGAAGCCTGCAGGGAACTATTTTCAGTCCTGACTGAGAATAAAATCAAACAGAAGGTGATGGTGGATGCCGTGTTTGTATGGCAGGGGCTGTGCGAGCAGGTCCTTTTTGTGGTGCCAAGGCATGGCTGTAAGGAATTGGAAAGAAGAACGTGATTTCTGGAGCTGTGCAGGGAGTGGTATTGCTGAGTGAAACAAGGCACCGCTGTTAGCAACTGTCTGGTGGAGGAGAACTTGGATAACTCAGAGGTGAAGCTGGGATACCTGTTTGTCAGATTCATCAACTTCAGTGTTTTCGTTAGTAGGATTTGGTGCTCTTATGGAGGGCTGTATGAAACACGGAGGTATTTCAGTGGCACATGGGGAGGGATCCCACAGAAAAATAGGCATGGTTGTGTTAGTTTGACTAAGATAGGAATTTCATTTTGTACATTTCTAGGCAGAAACAACAGTGTTTCTAGACACAAACAATAATGAGAACATTTGCCTTGGGGCAGGGCTGATGTGTAAGAGATGTTTCCCTGGTATACTAAGTTGAGATCAGCAAAAAGTAAATATTGAATAGCAACATAAACCGTGAAAGGTTCTGCTTTCTCACATGTATGTGATTTCATTAAGCCTCAGAGACCAGAAGAACAGGGAACAGGAACAGATAACAAAGATCCTACTGATCAGTTGTGTGAAGCACCATGCTAGCCTCAAGCATGCAAAATATTCATTTGAGTCATGCACTCTATAGAGCCACAGAATCGGACTCACAGAATAGCTGAGGTTGGAAGATCACTGGGGATCACAAAGGTAACCCCACAGCATCACTTAGGGTCACGCAGAGCAGACTGCCCAGCAGCACTTCCAGGCAGGTCTGAAAATCTGCAGGGGAGATGCACTTCTGGACAGCCTGTGCCAGGGCTCTGCCACCCTCACAATGAAGAATTTGTTTCTCACGTGCAGATGGAGCCTCTCGGGTTCCAGTTTGAGCCTCTTGTCCTGTTGCTGTGCACCACAGAAAACAGCCTAGCTCCATCCTGTTGATAATTCCGCTGAGATACTTGTGCACATTAATAAGATCCCCTCTCTGTCTTCTCCTGGTCATACTGGGTCGGCTGTGTCCCCCAGGCTCTCTCTCTGCCCAAGAGAGGAGCTAAAATCTGAATCAGCACAAGCACGATCTGTGCTGCAGTGTCAAGATAATACTTATCTCACATTGGTCTTGGGTCCACATGGCTGCCTTGGAGCTGTGATCTGCCTTTATCATATACCTGATGAGACACAAATGCAAGGTCACTCTTAAGTTCAGTGCCTCCAGAGGGCCACTGAATCAGAGTTTTCTCAAACTGAAAAGAAATGCAAAATATACTTTTGGCTCCAAAATCACTAAATATCCCATTTGTTCTGTGTTGGAACAGAATTGGAACTTCAAGCAGAAATCAAATCTGTAGGAGAAGGGCGCACTACATTGTTTTTTTTTTTTTTTTTTTCTTTCTAACAACTCTATTCATTTTGCCAGTGTTTGAATATTGTATGCAGCAGATGCTAAAACTCTGCCTTCCATCAGTGTGGCTGCCTTTGCAGTCATTTCTTACCTCTCCACCATATCAGAAGGCATTTTCTGGATGGGTATTTGCTTCTGTTGAATAAATAGTTCAATTTCACATGTTCTTCCTTGTTCTCCTTTTGTTCTAAGGCAAGGCGAGGCAAGCAAACAAAAACCCCTAAAAATTAGTATATTACATGCCTGGTTTGCCTTAGGGAGTGAACAGAAATACAAGGCGATGTTCTCTGGATGTGAGCCAGCAGGAGGCTGTTGGGCTCACAGCTGCAGCCCTGTGAGTCTGCAACTGGCAGTCTCTGGCCATGCACCCCAGGTGTTGTCATTCAGCATCCCTGCTTGAAGGGACCAGACAGGGATGAAGCCCTCTTTGCTATTCTCACATTAAGCAGCTACTGTAATTCCCTCGCTATCAAGGAAACACCAGAGCTGCTTGGAAGAGGTGGTATCACCAGGGGTTACAATGTCATGCCCTTCAGCTTCACCTTTTTCTTCCAACCTGAACCCCAGCACACCAATACTTGCAACTGAGATGTGAACTATTGAGGTGGTACTTGAACACTCATAGCAGTTCTGAGCGGCAGCATGATGCTTTTCCCCTTCTCTTCCTAAAGATGTGGATCTCTCCTAGTGAGCTGGATCCTAACCATCAGAATAATAGCCATATAAAGACATCATCCTGCATCCGCATGATATGGATGCAGATTACATCTGGATCAGTAATTTATGCACTGATAATTACATGCATTATCAGTATTTAATCAGCATACTGATGAGTGTAATTCAGCATGCTGCTCCTTTTAGGCAACAGGGCTCTGCAGAGTTTCTTGACAATGTTTAAAGCTGATGGTACCCCTGTAAATTACATTTGGACAGAACCTTTATGACCGATGCTTTTACTTGCCAGTGCATTCATGTCAGTGTAAATGAGTGCCACACACATATCCTTCCTTCTCAGACAGATGATTGCTTTCTGCTTTGCACTTTATCATTTAACAAGAGTGCCTTTACTGGACAGGTCCAGTGCTTGTGGAGCATCAAATACAAAGGGGTTCCATTTCTCTCCCAAAGAATATTCTGTATCCCAGTGCTCCAAAGGAAGATTTCTAGGAGATAAATTCTATTCTGGGAATAGGACAGATAAGAAGAGCAATGAATGGAACTCTTTAGGTGTCTTGCAGTCTGGAATGCTAAACCATATGATCCTTTTCCAGGCGTGTGTCTCATTAGGCTTTACATTATCTAGATATCAAGTTAAAGGATTGTGTTTTTTCTTTCTTTATTTTCTTCTTTTTTTTTTCCTCAGCAGAAGCCCAGAAAGGCAACTCCTCAGCCAGGAGAAGACACCTTGAACAGCCATCTTCCCCCAGGCTGGCAGAGCTATATGTCTCCCCAGGGCCGCAGGTACTATGTGAACACCTTCACGAACGGTAAGTGGAAGCTCCAGTAGATGTGTCACCCCAGTAGCAGACATCTGCTGCAGGGAGTTGTCTCTCAAGTTAGTTTTGATAAGAGCTACGCCCAGAGAGTTATAGAAATGAATGAATGACCTTGCTGCCATGTAAACTACTCTCTAGCCCTCTTTCATCTTAATTCTGACCATTCAAAGATATCTGTAAAGTAGAAAAAGCCCTGCCATGAATGAATTAGAACATAAGACATTGTAATGATGTAATTTCTACTACGTTCTTTTATTTCTTTTTCCTTCAGCTGGAGATATGTGTATCTACATATGTACATACATTTAGAGTTGTTTGATAGAATGTCTGGCACCACTAAAGCATCTTCAGGGGAAAACAGAAATAGTTAATTGGAAAGTTGCTCAACTCAAAGTCAGTTTCCCTGTGGAGTCAGAAGAAGAAAAGTGTGTGTAACGGGATGTTGGAAATATCCAAGTAATTTTGTCAGGACGGTATCTCTGATAAA